ACTGCAAATTTTTATGATGTAAAAATATATATTGGTGTAGAACCAAACATTAACAAAGTTCATGCACATGCATCTATAATATCAGCTCATTGTCCATTTTTTAGCAATGCATTAAATAATATGGCAAAAGAAAATGGATATTATATTATTAAGAAGGCTAATATTAATGAAAAACTTTTCAACCCTATTCTCGAGTAAGTTTAAATAGATTTACTATTCATTCATCATTTTATTTATTGTTGTTATTTAAATATATTAGATCCAAGTAAGTGGAGAGGCGGTTGATTACTACTGCTTTATTCTCTATATTTTCTGATATAGACTATAATGATATATGAAAGCATCAAGTTTTAATTTACTTGTAAACTATCGATACAAAACTTGAGCCATCATGTTTAATTCATCACAAACAAAAAAGTTTTTTAAATGAAGATTTTCAGATGTAACAATTATCGTATGGATGATATTAAGAAAATAATTATAAATTTTCATTATCACGAATAAAACAACGACAATACTGTTCGAGTTGTTTTGCATTTAAATCTGTTGCTAAACTTTCTATCTCTTCCATGTTTGTTCTGTTAACCAATTGAGAGAGCTTTAATTCCATAAAATCTTTTAAATGATCTAGTTCATAATTATTTGCTAATTCAAGTAGGTCCCTATATAATTCCAAATTTTCCAAATTTGATATTTGATATTGATTTGAACTTTGATTACCCCAAATTGCGTCATTGATATTCTGACCGTATAAGTAACGCAACAAAATCTTCATCGAGTTGGAGCTAACATTTCCAATAGTGATCCTAGACGGATTAGCTGCGCTTGAGTTTGCATGCTCTTCCGAATTGAATCTCTGACGGAAAATCTTAGAGCTTGCAGCAAGTACATATCGACTTGCTCGTATTTCTTCACCATTTACAATAAAAATAACATCATGCAAAAAGTTCATGTCACTTAATAAAAATCCTAGAGTGGAACTTTTGTTTATATTTACCTGATACTCTAAAACATTTGGAAATCGAGTCACCTTGGTGGTTTACAGCCGGTTCATTAGAATCATTTCTAAT